AAAGAAACTGTAATGAAGTGATTTTAAAGTTTAATCTCAGAGTCAGAGAGAAGTAGAATAAATGTGGGTGGACACTGATGGTTACATGGTTGGATGGTCAACATGCAAAGATGTGACGGCCAGCAGGAGAGAGGGGGGAGAAAGGGTGAGCAGGTACCAAAGTGGGGTGTAAAATAGATTTGAGCTTCTTCCCTTTTATCTTCTGTCAGATGAGCAGTTCAGAAGATCTCAGACGGTCACAGCTGAACATGGCAGCAGTGGAGGCGGAGCTGCAGTCCGACCTGTGACGTGATTTTCTAATTTGTGGCTTTTTGTCTGCTCATTTGTTCTGTGCTAAAAGCTTAAATCAGAAGGATTTTGATTTGCATCATACGTCCAGGAGCTGTCCTGTCGGGTGATCCTCGGCCTGCAATAACAGGATCGTTCTGTGCTCATCCTTTCTCCAACCTCTTGTTACCAAACATAACAGAGTCAGCATGAGCTCAGAGCAGATTGGTCAGTATAGTATAATAAGTTTAGTTCAGGTGATTTGATTGTTATTTTGTTAGTGCTAAGTTGCTTCAAATAGTGAACGTTCACTTTTTCATCTTTGGTGAAACGTAGAAGTCTGAATATTATTCTTTAGTGGGACAAATGCAGGTAAAAAATCATCCTTCTTTGCTGTCCAGGCTACTGAAATCTTCCCACAAATAACAAGTGGGCAGCTACCGCTAACAGATGGGACTGATAGCATCTGATTTAGGCTGGTCAGGTTTCTTCATACCAGGGTGAGCAGGTATGTAAGGCCCCTTACCCACACTGGCTCCAGTTAAACTCTGCTTTATCTACTGGGTGAGACTCGGAGGATCAGAGGTTTAGACTTTTTAAAAAGCCAGAATCAGCTTCCTGTAGAGGAGTTTTGTGGGCCTGCGGATGGACACGTCCAGAACACGTGCACGTGGTTAGATTACAAATCAGCTGTTTCTGTGTTTTTATGTCTTCAGTGTACTTAAATGTATGTGTACAGGTTTACTACTGCAGGTCACTGGCCATGGCCTACATTGAGCACACCTGCCTGCAGAGATTTCATGAGCTGACCACTAATCAGGACACACCAGCTGGTCTCAGACCAGTATTAAGGAAACTTTGTGCCTTGTATGGGCTGTGGAGCCTCAGCAGCCACATGGCGACACTGTACCAGGGTATGTAGTGGGCTCGATGCTGTATACACGGAGAAATCTTCATCGTAGTGATGTAACACAGTGTTGTTGTTTCTAGGTAGTTACTGGAGTGGACGTAAGCCTGCTGAGCTGGTCCAGATGGCAATCCTCACTCTCTGCTCCCAGGTACTGTTTATGGCAGATATACAGGAAGTATATAGAAATGCGTATACATTCCTATGTATAGGGCACAGCTTCACTAATTATCAAAGCAATTACAAATGTGGTTGCTGTAATACGCACACGTGTGCATTTCGTACTGTCGTGTTTTTGTTCTTTATTCAGCTGTTTGTATTTATGAGTTAAGAGACGAGCAATAAAAACACGAGTGGCTCCTTTGACAGAGTAAAGCAGATAATCTTACACATTGATCTTAAACGTGACATTTGACTGTTTTGGTACCATGAAAGTCAAACTCTGGTATGCTTCAGGGCGTGTCCACATTTTGATTGACATGTCCACCGGAGAAGGCCGCATCCTGGGTCTCAGTCAGATTTGTGATTCATAACATTTGATTTCTAAACACAAAGACAGCAAAAAAACTCAAAGCTTCAGAATCTGTCGGTGACCTCAAAGCGGCTCCATCCATCGTTTGGACCGTGTAGTTATGCACTGACTCGTATGGTCTAACTGTGCCTTACTTGTGCTCTCCTGTACTTTGGGAACATCTTCCTAGAACAGAAGGACATTGAAGAAATGATGGCTTGGCCTGACTGTAAAATCTGCTCTGTCTCTCTCACAGCTAAAGGATGATGCAGTAGCCTTGGTGGATGTCCTGGCACCCACTGATTTCATCCTCAACTCACCTATTGGCTGCGCTGATGGACAGGTAAACGCATACAAACACAGAAAATCCAGTTGTATCGTAAAAACGTTGCTGTCCGTCAAATTTCAAGGACATTGAAACATTTTACTTTTATTTACATTTGGCTACATCGCAACACAAGTAATCTCAGATAATAAGCGTGAGAATCCGTGTTAAATAAGTGAAGAAACACTTTTCCTTTGTCCTCTTCCTGCAGATTTACAACCACCTGTGGTCCACAGTAATGCAGGGCAGCAAAGTGCTGGAGCGTCCATCCTGGTGGAAGGAGTTCTGCTCAGACAAACCTGTGCTTGGATCTCTGCGGCCTAAACTCTAAAACCCAGTCGTGCTCTGCAAAGGATCTCTGCCTGTCTGTGCAGTGCCTGAACTTGCTTGGGCTCAAATTCCAACAATGTTAGGAAATGTTTAACAAGTCCATTAAAAACTTTACAAACTGTGACACTCGAGATTTCAACAAGCTTTCATGAATCCTCTGCTCCATACACGACATTTCCATTATCATTTAGTTGCACACGAGTGCTTAAACTTTAAGAAAACTGTGCTACTCAACAATAATTCAAATTAGTTGCAGCCCTGAGACCTCGACATGCTTCAGCAGTTCTGGTAACATCATTGCTGGTTGATAGCTGGTATATTTTTATAGTTTAACC